ACATATATTTTGACATTGTCAATTTTAAAGAAGTTTTTATAAAAGGTATAAAAAGTATCTACTTTTATCACAATTAATGCAATGAAAATATTAACATATGCTAGGTAGGCTAGAGTCAGAAACACAGCTATGATGCAGACAAATGCAAAATTGCAAAAATTTTGCAAAAAAGCAACTGAAAAAAATGATTTGCTATTTTGACACTAGTAATCAGAGCTTTACTGTCAAGTCTCCAAAATTTACAACTGAAATGGAAGAAATCTAGCAGGTCTGCAATAATGATGCTCTGAAGACTTAAAAGTGTTTTGTAGAGAATTAAAGTGCATTGAAGTTTTTCATTTAAGAATACAATTCACCCAGTAGACGTATGCTTAATACAGCTTTATTTGAAAAAACTCTTACTATATTCTCTAAATTTCATGCACTGTCCCAGAAACAAAAGGGAAATTTAAATTAAATTTATCTCTGTGAAGGAAACATGCAAAGTTGTCTCAAATCAGAAATGGAGTTCTGCTGACCTCTTCTGGAAAAAGAAAAATATTTCACCTTATAAATTGGTATCCGTCTTACTTTATTCACTGATTGTGTTTCAAAGTTTTAAGATTTCACAACACGCGTAACTAGTATCAATACATGTGATCACTGAACTGAAATATCTAAAAAAGCTAAAACCAGTGAAGTACAGTTTAGTATTCAAATATTTTAGAGAATTAATTCTAACCATTTTAAAAAGCTGAGGCACAGAGGACAGGCTAACCTATGAACTGCATTTTTTAAATCAGTGTAATATCTGCTCTTTAGGTTAAATGGAAATGCTTGGCTTTCCATCTGACAATTCAGAGAATCAATGTACCAAGAATTTGACTCCAATAAAAAAAAAAAAGGCAGAAAAAAATCACAATGAAGTCAAAGGTAAACTCTGGGTGGCAAAAAAATATTTCTTCAAAAAGGCTTTATCGATGACACTATTCTACAGCTTTCCATATCTATAAAGAAAAGGATGTGTTTAAAAAAATGTATATAAAAATAAAAGGAGTGCCTTTTCATAGCAGGTGAAAGGTATCTACAGTGACTGCTTAGAAATTCTTCACATTAGTAATTTTTCACTAGAATATCCATCCTGTAAAATACTGCATTCTGCTGACATTCTTACGCTGCATAAAAAAACCAAACCTACATCATTTATGTCAGCTTTCAGACAACAAGACAACTTTATCTTCATATTTTTCACCTTTCAGATTAATATCCCTGACAATTACACATTTTTTCTTCACCTGAACATGGACCACACAAACCGCATTATGCTATTTAGCCAGTCACCATTCAAACTCAATGTCCTAATCCTTTTAAGCAAAATGTGTTTGCATCTGAGGTGACCATTAGCTCAGTATAACAGTGTACATCCAAAAGACTGCTTTTGTACTACCTTTTCTTTTTAAAGCAGATTCTGGACTGAGTTTCATCAATATAGCTGATGTCCAGCACAAGCCCACACAACTGCAGAAGCACACTAAAATAGGCTAACGAAGTGCAGTGTAGGGCTGGAATCTTAGAACAGCTGTCCCACTGGTACAACCTCTCCTACAATTGAGGTCTAAGCAATTTCAGATCTAATCAACCCCCTACCATCTTGAGTGACACATGCACAGATAAGCTAAAAGGATTTTCATCACTTCCTCCAAGTTAATTCGAAGCAGTTTTAGAGCACATTCTTCCCTGTAATTCCATCTTGTTATAAATTATTCCAATAGCCAGAGGTGAGCTTCCACAATCAAGTAGTCTGTCTGGGTAACCTTCCAGATTAAAGCAAGCCGTGAATTGGAAGAGAATCTGCTTTTCTCACAGCATTGTAAAATCTATGTTGGCCACGTAAACTAGAATGAGATTTAAACACAGTAACAGCTAAGCCACCTGCAAATCTTCACTTGCAGCTGGTGATCAATGTACATAAAGTTCAGGAGTAATTTGGGAAAAATTCCTAATACACGTTACAGATATTTATAACAATCATCAGTCTTGTAGAACAGGACAAAATAAGTTTCATGCATATAAAATCACCTTTTATTTATTGAAAGAGACTGACAGTTCAATACTTTGAATCATGTGTTAAGGTTAAGTCATAGCTGAAAACACAGCAGTGAGCATTCCGTCCTTGGACTGCAGATCATTTTGCACTACTCTGCCAATTTACAAAGCACCACCCCTCATTTTGTCCCATCTCAACTCTTTTCTTCTGCTGAGTCTCTACCTTTTATGTGCCCTTATCTCCCAATTTGGTGAAGAAAACCTGAAGTTATACAGCTTTTTGGACTTCTGATCCCTATACCCCAATTCAGTACTTGTTTCCCTGTTTTGAACTTTTCTAAATTAATACTGATGTCTATCCTATCCAAATACAAGTGAAATTAACAAAATATGATATGAAAACAGGCCTAAAGGCCAGTTCTCCAACTGGTACTTGCCTCCTCCTAGCAATTCATTGATAATTTAGTCATAAGTTTATTAAAAGAAAAAGAAAAAAAGGGGAACAACAATACATTTATTCAAGGTTATATTTTTTAAACTGAAAAAAGGAATAAACACAAATTTCAGATCAGCATCTTTAAATATTCAATTATACAATTACCCTCAAAATATTCCTTGTGATAAATGGGCACTGTCACTCACAACTATCGAAATGCCATCTGAATTGCATTCTTATTTAGAAGATGTAACCAAATTTTTCTGCAACACATGCTTGCTGTTAGATATTTCCCCAAGTATATCAGACAGGAAATGTTGCAAGCTATTCAACCGGTGAGCTAGAACAACTACTAACACTACTTTTAAAAAGTTAATTTACTAAATAGAAATGGACAAATCAACAATGTAAAATACCCACTATTACTTATTTCTGCTTAAATGCCTACAGCAGAAAGAGGAAAACCAATCTTTCTGAAGTACTAGAGTTTTTAGACACATAGATAAACAGAACACATAAAAAATATATATATATATACTTACAGTACTATGAAATACAACACTGTGGCCTTTTCCTAAACTTTCTATATGTGCTGAAAGGTTAAAACAGATGGCTCGATGTCTTATAGCATCCAGTGTTTGCGCATCAAAGAAGTCATGAGGTCTTGCTAGAAAAAAAAAAAAAAAGAGATCCTTAGTGTTCAACACAGTGAAAGCATTCAAACACATTCAAGCATGTAAATAAGTCTGAAGTGTCATTGGTAAATAATTTATCATTATGACAGCAGCACTACCTTGTCAAACAGTTGTAAATGTTAATTTAACTGAGGAAGATACGACTCCAAGAGATGTACAATTCATTTAAGCATGGTCAAAACATAGTCCTTGTAAATGAAACAGTGAATTACACTCACTCATTTTTTTAAGTTTCAAGTGAATTCTGTTCTTTCCTAATCTTCAAAATTAAGAATTCATTAATTTTCCCGAGTACCTCTGGGAACATCCATTGCTATCATCTCTTAAAAAAATAAAAGAAGTCCCAGTGCAAAGAAACTAAACCCAGAACTCATTAATAAATGCAAGGTCTAATTTAATACAAAACCAGCCCATTTAGGTTGTGATATTTATGGGAACCTAAACAAGTAAGGCCAAGACACACTTACAGGACAGTCAATAATTCCAAAACTACTCCTGTGACTTTTAAAAAAATAAAGTACTTCAAAACATGATAGTAGATACAATTAACATCTTAAAAGCAGAATTATAACTATATCTTATTTCTTACCTTTATTGAAAACAATCTGCTCTGACCTAATTTATAATCGATAAAAACTCCAGCTATTTCCAGTGAATACTGGGATGCTGCAAAGAGATCAACAATGGCAGTGAAAACAAAACTGAAGGGGATGCCGTCCAGAGGGACCTTGACGGGCTTGAGAGGTGGGCCCGTGTGAGTCTTGAAGTTCAATAAGGCCAAGTGCAATGAAGGTCCTGCACATGGGTCAGGGCAATCCCAAGCACAAATACAGACTAGGCAGAGAACGGATTGAAAGCAGTCCTGAGGAGGAAGAGCTGAGGGTGCTGGTGGACGAGAAGCTCAACATGATACAGCAACGTGCACTTGCAGCCCAGAAAGCCAACCGTGTCCTGGGCTGCATCAAAAGAGGCGTGACCAGCAGGTCAAGGGAGGTGATTCTCCCCTTCTACTCTGCTCTCGTGAGACCCCACCTGGAGTACTGCATGCAGCTTTGGTGCTCCCCAGTACAAGAGAGACATGGAGCTGTTGGAGCAAGTCCAGAGGAGGGCCATAAAGATGATCAGAGGGCTGGAAGAGTTGGGATGATGAAGACAGGCTGAAAGAGTTGGGATTGTTCAGGCTGGAGAAGAGAAGGCTCCATATATAGCAGCCTTCCAGTACCTAAAGGCAGCCTACAAGAAAGCAGGAGAGGGACTGTCTATCAGGGAGTGTAGTGACAGGACAAGGGGTAATTGTCTTAAGCTGAAGGAGGGTCGATTTAGATTAAATATAAAGAAGAAATTCTGCACTGTGAGGGTGGTGAGACACTGGAACAGGTTCCCCAGAGAAGTTGCATTTGTGGAAGCATTCAAGACCAGGTTGGATGGGGCTTTGAGAAGGGGTGTTCCTGCCCATGGCAGAGGGGGTTTAGAACTAAGGTGATCGTTAAGACCTCTTCCAACCCAAACCATTCTATGATTCTATAAAACTGCTTGGTACTGCAGTGGAACACAAAGCAAAGGATTAAGTATGAATTATTATGAACATACAGAAAATGCTCTTCAAGAAATTTTTGATCTCCAAGGAGTAATAATGCTGAATAGTCACATGAAAAAACTACACTGCTAGACAAGTTTCTTTCTAGGTACATGTTCTTTGATTATTAGTAAACAGATTATTTTCTAGCCAAGAAGCACCAAATGCATCACATACTACACTTCAATTTATAATGAATAAAGTGCAATCAACATCCATCTGATATTTTACAAGTAGTCTAAACCCAGCAGGCAGTAATAAAGCCCTTTTCTTTTTCGAAAAAGACTTAAATATTTAAGTGTTTCTTGAACAGTAAAAAATTATTCAATTCTGATTTGGAGTATAAAGATCTATCAATTCTACACTAAAAGCACTTTAACTGAAAAATAACTGCTACTAGACACATATTTGCATACTGTTAGAAATAGTTCACACAAATGTTTAAAAATATACCATATAATATAGTAGTAAAATTACACAAGCCAATAAAGTATGAATGAAAGTATTCAGATTTTTTGAGCTTTGAGAGCAGTAATTCTCTATATAATACACTAAAATTAAAACTAAGAATAGGAGCTGATAGTACATCATCAACTATATATCATCCTGTAATCCGCAAAAAACAGTGATTCAAAGTTCTGTTGTCTTCATTTAAAAGAACTTCTATATTCCTTTTCACCAAGATTATCTATCCATTATTTCAAAACAAACTACAACTTCCACTTGAAGCTAGTATTTGCTACACTCCTGGGACAAATTCTTTTTAAGCATTCATCTGTACATTATGTTCTGTCCTTACTCTATCTCAGCTGGATACTGCCAATTAGGCAATCAATCTCACTGAAATGTTGTCTCACTCTAAGTGGTAACATAGAGCCACAGCTCATGCTGCAGGTGGTCAGTGACGCAAGCATATAAATATTTTATAAATAAATATAAGGGAGGAAGGAAGGGAAGGTGGAAAGGAGAAGATAATCCCAAATTTTTGGTTTTGGTTTCGTACAGCAAATTTCTTCAGGATTTACCACTGGGTAACATTCAACAGATGCAGAAGAAAGGGCACAATTTGTGAAAGGCATATGAATAGTTTTATTTATTCCTTATTAAGTGTTAATGCTGTATCCTCTAGGTATCTTAAATCTATTCCCTCAAAATTATTTTCAGAGTAATCTCCCTTCCTGCTTAATACAAGTTCCAAGTGCACATCAATTACTTAAATCAAAGTCTTCATACCAGTAGCCCACTAAATGAAATTCTAAGTCTTATGTAACTAACATAGTCTTACTGTTAATTCCATGAACAGTAAATGTCCTTGCTTACATTTCTCCAGTGAACTCAATTATCATGCTTGTTAATAACTATAGTGTCATCTTTGCTACTGGAAAAGCAAATAAAATACATAAAATTGTAAATATAATCTTAGGTTCTACAAAATTCATTGGGGTAGCTTCAGAATAGTAAGGTGCTACTTGCACCTTGCCAAAAAAAAAAAAAAAGCCAAGGTCTAATCAAACCATGAGGAGATAGAAAGAACACAGGAGAAAAACTGGTTTTGTGACACAAAACTGTAGTTTTTTGTCAAGCAATTATTTATGATTTAAACAGATTGTACACTATCAAATAGAATCTTGCTTTACATCTATTTGTCATAACTTCCTATAACCCAACTTGCAGAGAACCTGGTACATATGTTCAATACCCCTCCTTTTAGACACTTTTAAAATATCTAAATATAAATCTATGTTCCCAGCTTTATATACTCCAGACTAAAAATACTTAATACTGTTATTTTGTTACTTCGGCTTCTTAGATAAAGGTCCTTGCCCTTTCCCATTCTTCTTGTAAAGACAAAATATACAAACTTGCACACTTCATTCTTAACTAAAACTAAGCTAAGAAACAGACAAACAAAAATGTATCAGTCCTTTGTCACATTTACCTAATCAACAATAATCTGCAAAGTTTTAATGAAAAGCTACCAATATTTAACATTTTCAGAAAACACCATCAACTTTGGATACATTTCTGGGTCACATACCCTCTGGAGAAATACATTACAGTAGTCAGTTCCCAACTCGGAGATTATTTTCGCCTTAAGGTAAAACTCTACAGCTAGCATTGCCTTTGTCTCAAGTGCCGAGAAGATAAAAAACTGCTCAAGCAGCTGTCATTTTTCTTCCTGTGCAACACTTGATCAAGACAGCAGACCATTCAAGTACTACCGTCTGGTCTTTAACATTCCCATAATATTTACTACTTACATTTTTGCCATAGATTTGTTCAAGAATTCTGCAGTAAATGTTTATAACAACTAGAACATCTTCGCAGATAATTTGAAGTTTTAACTATCATGCTCTGATTTGAAACTTGTAAATGAATAATGTTCATCAATTACTAATAAAATGCCAGCCTGAGAAACTACTTCTGCATACGCTAGAGGGGGAAATTGAATTAAAATGCATTAAATCAGCCACCTAACAGAAGCAATACAGAGAAGCAAACTAAGATGCAACTCATGAATCTCTAAAGTGAAAATTTTGAAGTGAACAGTCTTAGACATCTATATTTTGAGCAACACAGTCAACAGATCAAGATTAGGAACCTATTTCAAGTCTCTCATTACATCTAAGATGAACTAAAAGGATACTGCCAAGTAACCCTTCATTGATCAGCCTTCCCTTATGGAACTCTCTCATTTACATAGATTGCTAGAATGAAAAGGAAAGCTCTTTGAAAGTCAAATTCTGAAAAGAACAGAAATAGCTTTCTACTTTCTTCAGATGTTGAATCAGTGTCAAAATTAGAAAAGTCCTTGAAGTTTACACTTTTAAGATGTGTTTAATGATATAATTTGCTCACATATATTTTAAGAATACCCAAGCATTTCCAAACAAAAAGAGAAGGCAAAAGAAAAAATAAATCACCATAACTGAAGTTAACAGTAGCTCTTCTAGCACTGAACTGCATAGTTGTCACACAGTGTGGAAGAAAAGCACAGGAAATAAGCTTTTCAGAATTCTAGGCAATACTGTAACTTTTCAGGACAGGCTTCTTTGTGTTCAAGGCAGAAACATGACCACTGCTTCAATAAATTTCAGTTGCTTACCACACAGATGAGATATTAAGATAAGAATAATCACAATCACGTGATACAGAGTAATCTCCTAAGATCACCAGTATGTGCATCCATTGTTGCAGTACTATTTGAATAGCTAGCAACTGTATTTCTTCACAGGAACAGAAAGATCAATACAGCAAAGTGTTCTGCCACAGAAGAGTTCTGGAAAAATAAGACTGTAATTGCTGACCCAGTGAAGTAACAAAATTTCTCCATCATACCATCACTAAAATCCTACTGCCAGCCAGGAAACAGGACTGAAGTAATTGCCTGCTTATGAATAGAGATCCATTCTGTGGACAGAACAGCAGGTCCAGTGGCTCATAAAAAAGGTATCTTGCGCTCCTCTCCAATACTGTGAGGTTGGTTTTACACCACAGGTAAAAATTAATGGACGTTTTTTCTTCAGCTTTTGACATACCAGCAGAAAAAAAAAATCTAAATGGGTTTTTACACATCTCTACTCTAAAATGCAACTGTCACAGTAACAGTTTAAAATTAGTAAATAATCAGTTCAGTACTGAAGAGCTGCATCCAAAGTTAATTTTTTTAACAATTGCCTAGTCTTTCCTAACCATTTCTGTACATTAGAATCTCTAAATAAATTTGACATGGTTATTACTCTGATGCTAGGACAACTCATGAATCAAACAACTGGATCAAAATGAACTAGAAAAGGTACTGAGATTATTACTTGCTAGAGGAAATAATTTTCACTTTAAATGATAAATCACACTTCTCAGCTCATTAGGTCATTTAAAATTAACAAACATCAACTGTGTGGAGAAAGATTAAAAAAACATAGCAAGTAAAATCTGCCCAAAATTAGATCTTGGTTATGCTCATAGAACTGTCATTAAGCTAACGAAACGTTGTGCTCGAGAAAGAGCTTATATAATGTGCATTGATCTCTAATTTATATGAATCTGTAATCTTTGTTTGCAGTACTGAACTTCAGATCTCATCATCATTAAACAGAACATTTTCCAACAGTAATACAGTTAACAAACAAAAAGTAACTCTACAATGAAAAGCATCTTTAAATTGTAAACTCGAACTGTTGCTCACAGAAAATTTATCTTTTCTACTGAATGCATAGATGCTTTGACCTATAAAGGAACACAAACTGAATGTGGAATTGTTTTCCTCCCATCACAACACTGTAACACTAAAGATCACCAACCCTACCTGACCCACATCTGCAGAGAAACAACCACATTGAAGAGGAACTTCCTAAGACAAAATTTTCGACAACTTCTACTTCTGAAAATACTTACGTAATGATCGTCGTCTCTTGTTCTTTAACTTTCTTCTTTTATTCATTCCAGCTTTAGATGGAGATTCCTCTTTGGCCTTTGGCTGGCTGGCAACTTTTGAAGAGTTCTGCTGGCTGAAGTGTGTGGGCACATGACGGGCAAGTCCTCCCTGAGATGCAAAGCTGGCATTGCACCCACCAACTACACACTAATGAGACAAAAAACAGAACAACTGTTATCAGCGTGCTATATGGCACTCATTCACAGGAGTTTGATACATCTTTCAGTTTGACTTTTCTGGGTTAACCTCCAACACAGTAAAAGGAAGACAAACTCTTAATGACCATGCAATTCTTAAAAACAGAAACATAATCTGAAATAAATTTCTATCTGAACTTTATAGCTCTCAATAATTATTCCAGGGTATAATAACTTTTCCTATATTATATTCTAAATATTGTACAACATAAAACCAATTTCAAACAATCCACTGACAAACCCTTCCCACAGAAAATAAATGCTTCTGAGTAACTTTCCCCTTCACAGACCAACATCCCCGTCTTTCAAAATACTGCACTGTTATTCTGTATTTCTCAACAGCTCTCCAGTCTCCTGCATTTGATAACAGTGATGTTCTAACATTCCCCTTTCTCGTGACAAGGCAGAAGTAAAAAAAAAAAAAAATACATCCTTACCTATATTAAATTTGAAACAGCTTAGTATTTTTTGTAAATGCTATGCAAAGTCAATAAACCTTACAAAAATCTTACAGTTCTGTCTAAAACTTTACCTTCAGTAACTTGAAAGTTGTATTAGCAATTATTTATATATTTATTTTGGGATGCTACTATTACTTCAGAAGTATTTAAGAAAGTTCTTATTTAAAGAAAATGGTCTCTCTTTCTCAAATAGAAAAGAAAATATCCAACAATAACTAAACAGAAACACAGAAATTGCAAGATATATGCAACTAAGCTAGTACTGGCTACAATAATTATTGGTATTTTTATAAGTATTTGGTTTATATTTACAATTATTTCACTTTCAAAAGAAGTATTTAAGTTACAATGTTGGGGAGGGAGGCACAAACCTTTTCTCTTCTGCTCTGAGCTTACAAGGGTAATAGAAAAGTAATTTTAAGATATGCATCCCATCATTTGCTGCAATGAATTGTGTATCCACACGATCAATTTTTCTTCTGACCCAGAGAATAGTAGTAGGGCAAATAAGTTGATCAGCCAGTAGCAAGAAACCACTCTAAACCACTGGAAAGTTTTCCTCCTTCCATATCTGTTCTGTTCCTCCCTCTCCTTCCCCTCTTTCTCAGCTCTTTCACCTGTACCTCTCTTCTCTAGCACTTCCCATCACAGCAAACTGATGAGACAGTTCCAATAGCAGTTTGGGAATAAGCAATGCTGCAACTACGTACATTGTGTCAAGTTTTCTCTGAAGAGTAAGGATGAATTTGCAAGCTCTTAACAGTAATCTGCCCCAAGCCTGCACATTTCATCAAAAGACAAGAAAACAGCAGTAGAACACCACTCAGCACGTTTTGTCCCTAAAACCCAACTATGTTGTTTTCTAACTGTGGCTGCAGAATTAAAACGTCTGTTTCTCTGCCTCAGACCTAGCAAATGGTTTTCCATGATCATCATAAAACAATATAGTGTCCATGAAGAAAAAAACCCTGTGTTATCCCCAAGGACTTAATACTTGCTATAGGACTGAAAGTACGTATATCTATTTCAAGATAGTAAAAGACAAAAAAATAGGAGGACATTTTTCACATTTTTATTTGCCTCTTTTTTTTTTTTTTAAGGGAAAAAGACTTGGGAAGTTAGGGAAAGTTTTCTATGTACAGCACTAACATATTTAGGATCCTTCACACTATATTTGTTCCTCCCTGTCTCCCCCACTAATAAGTATCTTAAGAATTGTGAAGATTTTTAGCCAAAAAAAAAAAAAAATTTCTATCTACACCTTTTTACCTTGCTCTATAACTTCCCATGTTCAATCAACAGTAATATACTTGTAGTGATTTACAATGTAAGAAATCCCAACATATCTATGACACTCAAACCACTCAAGCTCCTAATCTCATTTACACTACAGTAATCTCAATGCAATATTTATGACTTCAAATTAATACTGAAGATTAAAATCTAGTTACAGAATCATAGAATGGTTTGGGTTGGAAGGGACTTTTTAAAATCATCCAGTTCCAACTCCCCTACCATGGGTAGGGACATCATCTACTAAATTAGGTTGCTCAAAGCCCCATCCAATCTGACCTCGAACCTGACCCACTTAGTTGTATTAAAGATGATCAAACTCACGATCAACAGATACTGATAAAATACATACATGCATTAGTTCAAACATGTTTTATCCTATAGATTTTAAGTCCTTGAAATAGCTGTCTTGCCCATAAAAGCTGTTTCATGAAACTAAACCAAGCAACTAAATCTAAACTTAGGTTAAACTTTCATTAAGGTGCTCCTGACTTCAGCTTCTAGCTCTTTCTGATCCTACAAACACTGACAGGAAGAAAAAAAAAAAAAAAAAAGTGCAACCTGCCCACGCCCCCATACCCTGAAGTTCAATCACACTGAGAAACTAAAATTTCAGCCTTGCCAATGCCTGCTAGAGGTCAAAAATAACCTAAAGTCTTGGTACAGTGCATGCATTACCATGTTCCAAGCTTATTAAAGTATAATATCAAAAGGCAATACCTTCCAAAAATAACACGCAAACTTTTTATCAGGCGCATTTCTAAAACCTTTTAAAACACAAGTTTATAAGACTTAATTGTATTTCTTGCCAGATGGGCAACATTGTTTTATGACAAACTGCAGTTTGACTCAAATGTCTTAACTTGTTTTCTTCATACATGACTAGACAGAAGTCAATCACAGATTACCTACAAAAGCTACCACTTACTTTTCGTGCTCTACCCAAGTTTTACTTTCAAAAGTCCCAAACTAGCATCCTTAAATCTTCAATATATGCAACTTGCCACTAGAAATTATCTTTTTCCAGAAAGCCTATTTATAGTCTGCAGCCACAGTATGAAATATTTGCAGAAATCATTACATTCAGGTATTGTGTAGCTTGAGACTACCTGATCATGTCATCAAATAATCAACAGCTGATATATCAAAGATGACAGAGAATGCCTTTGTAGTAGACAGGAAATAGTAGAAGAGGAGAAAAATCTTACCTGTTTTTTCTTTTTTTTTTTCTCTAAAATAATATATCCAGCAATCCGTTACTAATGGGTAAAGTCTCTTCTCTCCAAAGATAAAGAAGCAGTTCAGGCTGTCACTTCAGGATCTCTGGACGGTAAGTCACACCAAATCAGCTTCCCACCAGATAATTATACAGATCTAGAGGGCTTCTAACAAATCAAACTCAACTAGTATGCACAACTTTAAACCAGTATCTTCATTTTTCCCCCAAAACCTAAATCTCAAAATTTTGCATTCAATTTTAAATATGATAGATTGGGTCCGGATTGGTGGATATGTTACTTCAAGAGAAAATAAGTCAACACATAAGAAGTTTAATTTCTCCAGTGTACCCATACCCACCATTATTAATGGGCAGTAATGACCAGTGACTTTAAAAGCAGGATATAAAAATATCTAGCAATATAAGTTTTTTTTTCTAAATTCAGAATAACGTAATCTCCTTTTTAGAATATCCAATGTGTAATTTTTCCAATAAATCTAACAGTAATATTTTAGACATCACAATAAACCTTCCTGTTGTCTCAACATCTAAGTGTTCAGGCAGAATGTCTTTACGTGTTCTACCTGCATCTGCAGTGCTCTAACGGATAAAAGATATTCCGCCAAGAGAGTAACAGGCATGAATTCGAAATGAGGACTGGAGCTGCTTGGCTGTGCTTTCTAGATTTCAACAAGTGTTACTCTACTCAGAGTCCTATCAAATGCAGTCACCTCTTAATAAATTCTGGAAGTTACAGGTGGCAGAATGAGCACCAAATTTCATTTTTATTATTACTTTCTTCCCCGCTTTTAAACAAAGGATGAAAACCTCCAATGAACCTCTGTATTGTCATTTGTTGTTATTGAAAGCATTTACGCCACACGAGCAAACCTTGCATGACTGAGCTTAAACATTAAGAGCATACCCACTGGCATCAGTATGTGAAAGCAGTTGGTAGCATATCCACACACAGTCTTATATTTACAGAAAATTGCTATATACAATTATTTTGCATAAAATCTCCTACTGTTTTGTGCTCACTCTACCATTTGTCCTTTCATTATGCCTAACAACTTGTATTTGGTCACCCAGACTACATTTTAAGAGTTTGATACGTCTTCAAGTAACTTTCAATGCCTCATACGGCAACAAGGCATGGCGAGTAGTATTCAGATTCTTTTTTGACTACCAGAAACCATGCTGGAAAATGCAGGTTGTCACAGCACATTACCTGTTCAAATACTTAGTATTTGTAACAGCCAAGTTTAGGACAAGTAAGATAGAATTTCTTCATTCGATTTCTCTCAGCTTGCCAAAGACAGTTACAGACATCAGCTTTCTAACTCAGCAGACTATTCCTCTAGATCACCTGTCAACATGTTCTGAAAGTTTTTAAGTTGCTGAATCCTAGACAGGACCACCACTACATGTTGATGATGCTCCACAACATAACACCAGTTTCTAAAAAGCTGCAAAAATTATGTCGTAACAGAACTAAAAAAGAATAATGTTTAGGTTTTTCTCTTTCAACCCTGAACATAAATATCATACACAAACATGAACACACTAAATGTCTTCAGAGAAACAATTACACAGTCTGAGAATAGCTATATTAAATGATGTCTACAATGACAAAAAAAAAAAAAAAAAGATGAAAGGGTGGCTAGAATCAGACTGCAATAAGCAAAAGAGAAAACTTCCAGCAGCACAAGAGCAATGAACTTCAGGTATTAAGAGGAACAGTGTAACTTCAAAAAATACCAAACAGTGGCCCAAAGAAGGCCAGTAAGTTCTCAACCAGAAACATGTTCTGTAAGACCAGTTTGTTCGTTCCTATTGACAAGAAAAATCTAGGAAATGGTGCTTACCAAAAGCAGGATTGGAAAAGCATGCTGTTTTGCAGGAATCATATTTGACTACAGACTGAAAACTAACTAGCTGCAATTGCTAACTATGTCTCATCTAACAGACTCTTTGGTGGAAGGATTGGTGGGTGCCCTAAGAAAGACTTTATCAGTAGCAAAGTTTAGTGATGATGGCCTCAAGAAAATCAAGCAAAAAATACATCCCTGTGTTACATATGAAACCCAAGGCCATCAGTATTAAAAGCTTAGGGAAAAAAAGGAGAGAATAAACAGAAAAGCAGTATGATGAGTAAAGGGGAACCGAGGTCCTAAGTTCTGCCCAAAGATGTAGAGTTAGTTGGGTTTTTTTCTCTCTCCTTAGCTCCCCAGATGACTCAGATATAGAATGTCCCCTCCTTATGAGCTGAACATACACTAACAGGAAATTGCCCCATATAAAAATGGAGCTAGCATAACAAAGGTCTCAAAAAAGGTATTCATAAGGACATTTACCTTTTCCATGACATAGGTATTGCAATATTAATTCTGAGGGGGACACACTAAAACACACAAACAGAAAACACAGGAGAAACTTATGAAAATATGTAACATTTCACCTTTGTAATTTAGAAGTGGGTTCATTTCTCTGACAAAGTAACTTCAGTCACATAGTTTATATGAATGCATGGAAAGGACAGGTAAACCCACAAAGACCTCTTAATATGAAGGCACAGCAGCTCATTTACAGCTGGATACAGCTGTTAATCGTGGGACAACACCATGTGTATCACAATAATAGATAATTAAACCCAAAATGGGCAACTATATAAAATGAGTCCACTTGCAAGCAAAAGGGTGACAGGACAGGGACATATCCTTCGAGAGAGCAGTTCTAATGCAAAGGACAGCTTTATGCTCAAGACAGTCCCCAACTGCCTTTCAATTTAAGAAAATACTTTTGTCTCTTATTCTGACTAGAAATATAATACAGAAACCTGCCATATATTTATTACTCTCCTCTGGTCATTATACAATTATAGTGTTCTTTTACCTTTACATAAGTAAATTTTTCCTGCTTTTAATTGTCACTTTCCTAGCTAACATTTTCTTGCTTTTCTTAAAAAGATCCTGAACAGCAGTTCTTCAGACAACAGCACACAGCTATACTATTTCCATTAATGCCATTGTTGGCTTTCCTCAAAAATCCTGATATTTATTTTTTAAATAAAACACTGAATGACTAGGTATTTTCACCAAGTTCTTTAAAATGACAGATTCCTTCCTTTTATGCTAGAACTCAAGTATAGTGTCATGAGGCACACAGAAATTTTATTTGTAATTTAGGTTTTGGGAGATATTTTTGTCTGCAGTAATCAACAAGAACAAGAAGTCCTTAATCCAACTCTGACTTGAAAAAAATTAACTTTTTCTAAAAGGTGAGTAATTAAGATTTATAAGAACAGCTAAATACAAACAGAAACATTTGCTCCATTTTTGAATGACTGCCATAAAACAATTAGTAATGGCTGTTCTTGGACCAATCAAGACTAATATCCAACACTTGAAGTGGTTTTGTATCAGACAGTAGATTTCAAAAGCTTGTAAAAGAAAAGAAGCAAGCAAGGAAAGGGGGCTAGTTAATTAATAGGTTGCTATCACAGACACTTACATACTTGGCTACCTCATGTGAGCCCTGAAGCCTATATTCAGCATAAATGACAAGGGAACAAAAGATGTTACAAAATGCTACTCAGATCACAATTATCCTCCATTCAAAACCCCCAGGAACAGATAGAGAAATACAGACATAAAAAACAAACAGAGGGAACTAAAGACAACGGTAGGAAAAAATGCTGAAGTGACACACATTGAGCCACGATGATTAACTACTACAATCCTAGCCTGTGTTTTGTTCTTTCCCTTAGCAGGATTAGAAAGTACAGAAAATCAGCTGGTGAAATAACGCCTATTTAACACAAGACTATTATTGTCAGAACTAATTGTTAGGGCTCTAGCTGTAACCAGATTAGTCAAAAAACTGAGATACCAACTTTTACTGACTTTGCTATGTAACTCTGACAGAATCAAAAGTACTACTGTTATTTCTGAGCTATGCCCCCCTCTTTTAAACCCATTGTCTCTAAAATTGAGTTTCTTTCATCTAGACCAAATAAGTATATAAATTACCCTACTGAAAGACTTTCCTTCAAGAATAAAACTTGCCACTCTACTTTAAGGTATATAAAATACTTAATACCAGAGTGAGAAGACCTAAGGTACAAGTTTCCTTTGATTACTTTTTTTTATTATTTTATTCGGGGATTAGCACTTAAGATTAGTTTCTGGAACAATCATATCTGCAAACTTTCAGGCATCTATGATCCCTATACTATGCTTCTAAGAGCATGCTAACCTTATTCCTTTGAACAGAGGGTATGATAACCTCAAGAGCAAGTTTCCTGTTACTCACTCTCAGAAATTTTCAGACTAAACTACACAGTTCAGTATGGAAAAAAAGTCTAACCTTTACTAAAAAACTTTTTCACATGCAATGCATTATTTTTACTCTCTAGGTTTGAGTTTAGTTTTGTTTTCTGTCATAACTACTGTTACAAGCTATGCAGAAGTAGTAACTTCTGGAAAACATCACTGTAACAAGACAAGTATTTTTTAGTAATAAAGCTGCCTTAAAATAAATTTTAAAAAGTAGAAGATATTACCTGAGAAGAAAGAGAAGACAGGGAAGTGGAAAACCAGTGACTAAAACTTGGGGGAGGGTTGGGGGTGGGTGAGAAGGCATAAAATGCTACCTAAACTTAAAAAAAAAAAAAAAAAAAACCTAATTCATTTTCATATCCTACATGGAAGGAGAACTTCAGTCTGAAGTAGTGTGGGTGGGACTTACCATCGAGTGATCCAGGACTGACAGCTATGAACTGCCCCAACTGTATCCATAAGAGGATGAAGCAACTCATTAATAACGGATTGGTGGATATGGGAATGATAAACACTACTATACCTAGAATTGCAGGTACAGATTAGGGGGAGAAAGAAAGAGAAAGTTAGAAAATACTATGCAGGAAATACAGTCAGCTCAACGGTCCTGCATTCCTGACTTCCTTATTATTCTCAGAGAGGTTAACCATAAATAGTCACCGATTGTGTTTCAACTGAATTTTGTTAACAAAACCAGCTCTTATTCAAGCACAGAATGTGCACCACGTGGCATGATCCAAAGTTTAATGTGGAAGTGTAAAGCATGAGGCAAAACATCTCACTGTTACGATGTGAGCAGCTCAACTGGAAAATGCACCAAAAAACCCTGAACTTCAGCACTATTTAGTATTACACTCCCCTACCATTTACAGGTTAAAAGAAACAGGGATAGAGAAGGAATAATGGTATTTTCACCTGTTTTCATAACAGAACAGGACCTTTGGACACTATTATTGCAAAGATGAAGGCTCAGCTCACTGGATACTTTTTAAGAAATCCTCCTGTGATGGCATTTTTCAATTAATATATTGTATCAGAAAAAATAAATAGGATCGCTCTTAAAACAAGGGATGATATATCTTACAACGAACCTTACCTTGAAAGGTTTGTCCCCACTGTGTGTCAGCATATGCCTCTGCAACCAACTTTGACTTGTTGAAGGTGTATTATATACTTTGCAACCTTTCCACAAGCAAACAAACACCTAATAGAGTAAAAATGTGATAAGTTTACACAAAGCAAAGAAAACGGTAAAAAAAATTATCAATTAGCAAAGAAGCCTCTTTTCTTAATACAAAATACTTCAAAGAATTTTGAACAATAACTGTTTGTTTTGCAACACACTTCTAATATGTCACCAAGGAAAAAATAATTACAACCAGTATTCAAAAAAGCAGCTCACTGGAATAAAATATCAAAAAATAGATGTTCCTGCAGATAAACACAATCAAGAGCCACAGCATCCACAGTAAAGAGTTTGTGTTTGCACTCAGTATCTGTATCCACCAGATACTGAGATAGAACATTTTAAATGACAAACTTTCTGGGTAGCAGATATAGAAATAAAATAATTTACTCTCATAGGCAATTAATAATTTTATTATTTGAGCCTGAAAAAAGCAGACTTGTAATTACAATACAGTTGTTTAGATACCAGAGTTTTGTATTATGGAATACTGGATACCTCTAGTTAGGGCTTTATACTTAATTCCCAATGAAGACAGTTCCAATTTCTCATAGGATTCAAGAAAATCTATGGATGTTTTGTGATTTCAGTGCACAGATCAGTCACATGCACAATAGTGCATTAAGGGGTGTAGAACTTACTTGTGCTGCTTTTCTCTCTCCTCTCATTGTGTCTATCTATAACCGAGAGAATAAAAAAGCTCAATGAATTTGCCTTTCATTAGAATTTCCTGAACAGGTCTGTGTGTGAAGGGAGGAATAGCCTTAATTTGTAGCAACAAAATACAGTCCCTAGGAATAGCATTGTCCATAATACAGGTTTTCAGAATTGCAGGCAACTAATTGGATTTGAGTTTCTTGTTCTCTTTTGGAGGTTAAAAACTCAGTCTTCAAAAGACTGTATTTTCAAAACAAAAGAGCAGCCACAGGAGTGCTACATACTTGCTGTATAATATATAGATAACCCAGCTTACTAATACAAGGGTGGAAAACCCTTCATGTATGTATGACTGATCCAGACCTACTGACGCATTAGGCCCAACACCCTAAACCTTTGGTGTCTCCTCAGTTTTGAGATCCCCCTGAAGCCACAGAATTGGAGTTTCCAAGATTCCTGGCTCTGCAACAGCTCCATAACTGTCCCAATATTTCCATCAGCAACTGCAGGGCACTCAGCAAAGGAGTATTACTATGAAGTTACAGATTGTGGAAATACGATCCCTCCAAAGAACAAGCATTTGGTTTTACAACAACCCACCAGAAGTCCAGGCAAGACTTCTTGGGAACTGTTGTCAAAAGGCTGAATCCAAAATATTTCTGAAAAAACTTCTGGGAAGAAGAACTTTGTCAAAAAGTTACCTGGGCTCTTTATGGATCTATCTGGTTTGGAGCCATTATCTCAGTATTAGCTTGAAAATAAGCATCCTTGTATGGTAAAAATGTACCTTAAATCAACCGAACCCACAATATAATTTCTAACACCACTTAAACACCTCACCAGCAGGTGGCAGACAAATCCTTGACACAAAACAGCCAGGATCAGTCCCCTTCCACAGCATCAAGTTGAAGAACTTTTCAAAAAATAAACCAACTCCAGTAGGGGGATAAAAAGCATGAACTGAATGCAACAGTTATTAGGCACTTGGTGCTTCCAACAACCTACTCTTTCAGAAAAACAAATACAGTCTAACAATTTCTAAATAAAAATATCCACAAGTTGTGTCACATGGAATGTAAGTGAACAGAAATACAATTTAAAAACAAAAACAAAAACCACGAAAAACCCCCCTAAACCCCCCCACAATCACCTGAAAAATCTTCCAGTCCCTTTTTATGAAATGAAAAGGGGTTGTGGGTGGAATAACAAAGATCCCCAGAGATGCAGTTATGGAAAAGCCCACACGATACCAACACATCTCATTCATTTCATCCAGGATTCATATAAGACTTCTATAAACCTATGAACATAACTACAGAAATCATCTCATGGCTGGCTAAAAAGCCAGCTCACTGGATAGATGATTCTGCTTAGAGCTTGGACTGAAAAAAAGTCACCAAATATGAAGCTGAAAGTTTAATCATACCAAAAAACACTAGCTAAACACAACCATAGTCATGGCTGTCTCAGTGACACAATTACATAATAAATTATTTAAAGTAATGCAAATCAGCATTTTAAGTCTCTTATTCACTCAAGATAAAGCGTAATGGCCTAGCATTTTACTGCTGGAGAAGTGACAGGACAAAAAGTCAAAAGATAATGACTATTCTACGTTAAGATCTGGTATTAGCTCTCCAAGAAATTAAAGAGCTGCAACACACAGCAGCAAAAGCAGGCAGATTGCTTATGTTTGATGTAAAAGTAGTTTACATGACATATTTCAGGCATCAAAGGTAATTTGTGTGCTTGGGGAGGGACAGGTAGTTAAATACAGAACTGAAATTACTGTACTGTAAGATGTTTTGAAATATTAAAATTACGAGACCAATGGAAATGGCATCATTTGACCAGGGATCAGACTGAAATATACATGATTATATATGCACCTCAGTTTAAAAAAAAATACTAGATGCAATTAGATTGAAAGTATACTTGCCATCAGTACTACAGACAGAGCTGTTTTGGTAAGATTTTGTACTCTCGAGTCAGTAAGTATTACATCTTCCCTATTATACATTCTTGTATATATTTTACCTCTAGTGAGGCTCCATTTCTAAAAAAAAAAAAAATCAAGATATGATTTCACCTGAGTTCACGTGCAGTAACACGTACACTAATAGTGTTAAGAAAATGAATTCCAAGTATAAGCACTTAAAGATATACCAACAGCTTCAGGATTTTGAGAAGTTAGCACATCTATCAAAAACCTGATAGACTCAAATCATTTATTAAAAAAAGAACTTACTATATTCTTAAAGGTAGGCATTCAATTAAAAACATGGAATACCAAATCAAGTAAACTACGCAGAAGACAACAGCTGAACGCCTAGTACCAGACTGCTGAAGGCACAAACTTAGTTGCCACTACCTACGGAACTGATACCTTAAAACATAAAATTTGTTACTGTCATTAAAGAGTAAAATATTGGCAACTAAGAAAGAGGGAGAAAACAGAAAGTAACACCAACCCCTCCTCGTTGACCATCCACATGTATGGAACGAATGTGATCTGCCAAATCCGGGCTGGAGCTGAAACAGGCATGGCAGTGGTCCCAACAACAGTTATAAGCAATGCTTTTTGCAGAGGAGGCAGGAACTCCTTGTCCATTCATCATAACTGGAGTTGAACGCCCACTGGAAATTGTGCTGTCTACGTCCATAATAGTGCTGCTTATGCTGTATGACAAAAAAAAAAAAAAAAAGAAGAGAAAGTTCATATTTGTTGCATGGTAACAGAACAAATAAAAGATCGTAGGTCTTTGGGATTTTGTTTCAGATACATTTAGACAGGTTGACAAGAAAGTCTTACACAAATTTACTACTTATTGTGGTTCATCACTAACTATAATAAATGTACAGTCAGGAAACAGCTACTATTACTTGACAGTATAACTTCTTCTGGACATTGGCAACAAAACAGATGGATGGAAAATTCTCTCATTCATGGATTCGTCAGAAAATTAACTCACAGGTGATTAATAAAGTAATTTTTAAGCTACATTAAACAGACATTCATTATTTGTATTTCCCAGAAGAGAA